TCCGGGGGGGGTGGCGACCCATCGCCCCCCTCCTATCCGCTGGTGCGCAGATCACATCCCCGGGAGGACTGGGAGATGTGTCCGCCAACGTGTCGCCATAAACTGGAAGTCCCGGCTCACACATTTTTGTCTTAGCTCAGGAAGGTTGGCCCCAGTGCAAACTAATTTATGCAGTAGCCAAATCACTCACTCACAACTTTAATGCAAGTAGCTCAAAAGGCAGAATTTTTGCTTATAAGACTACAGAGCTTAGAGGGAGCATAGGTTACAGGTAAGTGCAACCCTGTGTTCTTTTTGCTCTGTGACCTAGGGTACCAAATCACCTTGGTCAGGATGCCTAAATGTGGCCACAATTTAGGATAGCACCTTGGAATCATATCCTTTTGGCAAATGACAGTACGTTACAATAGCATTAAGAAAAACACAAGACTACTTAATGCTGTGCTTTTAGGTGCTTTTATTGCATTCCTAAATTACAGCAAAGTACTGATTTTAAAGTTACCATTTCTCCCTCTAAGCTTTTAGATATAAATGTATTAATTTTGCATGACAAAATTGTCATAAACCTTATTTTTTTTCTCTTTTCTCTCTTTCAAGATGGAGGAAGATGAATTAAGTGAAAGAGAGCTGTTTGTAGCTTCTATTATGAACAGAGTTCGAGACTTAAAAAGCAAATATAGAAATGAGGATACTGTTACGGATGAGCTTAATTTTACCAAGGTATCAGCTGATACAACAGGTACGTAGTATTTTGTTCTGTATATTTGTGAACTTAGTTACTGATTTGACTTGAATAGTGAGCAGTTCCTGCTTATCTGTGGTAACATTTCAAGGTGAAATAGTGAATTGATTACATTTGCTTTTATTAAATATAAAAAGCATATCTAAACACCTTTATAGAACACTTCAGATGTAAACACAAATCATAATTATTATGTAAATCAGCCTTGGCCTCACATGCTTCTTTTTCTCCTCAAAACCGCAATTCCACTCTTCCTTGGTCTGTGGTGAACCCATAGATTGCTGTCCAAACCAAAACTGGAGAAGTCATAGACCGATATCCAAACTAGAACTGGAAAACCATTGTTTGATTTAGTTTGCAGCTTTGGTTTGGAGGACCAGTATTACCATATAGTTTCCTATTATGTTTGAACTTGCAAACTATTTCCTGAGGTTGTGGATTGGAGAATGTGGGGTAGGAGGGTATGTGCGATCCACAGTTCACTCATGTTATGCCAAACAATGTCTTTGACATTGCATATTAACCAGTTCTATAAGATTACCTTCTGTAACATGACCTTTTAGAAGAGTTTTATCTCTGTGTTTTGTAACAGTTTGCTTAAATTGTTCCGGTGAGCCTTAAATGAAGAAAGAGGTGTATGTAATCTGATTTTTTCCATAACAGATTACAACTGCAAGACATACTTTTGTAATTTTGTGGCTCCTTTTCTATCACTGGCTCTGTAGGGCAATTTTGCAGAGTTGTACTGTGGAATTTCTCACTTTGCTTTTTGCTTAGCACAGAGCAAAAATGTAATCTGTTTCTCCATCACACTGGTGAGTGTAGTTAGTGTTTATTATAGGGACATAAACTCTCAGATCTTGCAGAAAAGGTGACCCCCACACACACACCAAAAAATTTCTAGTTTCTAGAGTGCCCTTGTTCATTTGTCAAGGGAGTTGTCTCTGTTAGCATTCTCATAATTAGGGAGAGTTTTCATAACAGACAAATTTCAAACCGTTAGCTATGTTAGTGTCTCAAAATCAGAACTATGATCAATCATGTGGCACTTTAAAGAATAAAAGCATATATTTTGGCATAGGCTTTTGTGAGCGAGAGGCCATTTTGTCAGATTTATTGAGCTGATAGAAAAATATATCCATAATGGTAGAAACAGAAGAAAGGTATTTGGATAGGGGGAAGTGGCAATTATAAAATGAGATGGTCAAGGAAACCTAGAGACAAGCATTACATAGCTACACCAAACGCACATGAAAATATTGTTTAAGAATCTTACATATATACTAAATATTAATCATGTTTTGAGATTTGTTGTGCAAAGTAATTTAACACACCTTTCCCTTGTGTTATTTGATCTTCTCATTCAGTAATTGCATCTTTCTCTTCCCACCTTTCTTTTGTTTGTACCTTTATGTATATATTTCAACCAAGTAAGGCTATTTATGCACCTGGGAAAGTGGGCTATGGTCTAACGCATGAAAGCTATCATAACAAATTTAATCTTTTAAAGATGCCACTGTACTTTCTATAACCTTGGAGTTGTTGTAAACTTTGGCTGCTTAATTAGATGACCAGTCTGTGTTTTTCACATCTATAGAGTGCTAAGCAGCAGCAGCAGCAGCTGAGAAACACTGAGCCAACTACTGAGTTAATTATTTTGAATTGTGAATTATCTAAGATGAGTACTTCAATAACTGATGGGAGTTTGCAAAACCTTGTAGTGACTCTGAGCAAAGAAAGGGACAAAATGATATCTCATAAACATAGTCGGGAGACAGAGGAATTCATACCTCCTGAATCTAAACAAAGATTGAAGATTTTCTCTCTCCAACTGCCCCAGAATCATCCCACGCTTTTCAAATTCCCATCTTTAATCGCTTCTCTCCATTAGGTGAAGACATGAACAATTTCTCTGAAGGTTTGATCACAGATGCTCCACCTGAAGTACCTGATAGTGGCTTAATTAACTCTACTGCAGCTGAAGCCACAGAGCTTTCTGCATATCATCCAGAGATGGCTAACTTGGCTACTGAAACTCCTGCCAATTTGCTTCTCTTGGTGGCTGAATCAATGAACTTTATTTGCAGAAGGCTTAATTCACTACACTCTAAAATAGAGGATATTACAGACCTACTGACAGGGCTAGTGGGTGACAAGCCCCTTGGTATCAAAGATGTTTCCAAGGAGTTAATTCCATCTAGAATATCACCAACAGTAAAGCCCACATTTTTTGCAGACATCGGATCTGAACTGCCCCAAGCTTGACCTTGATCCTCAACAGGCCATAAGGGATTCGAGGTCTATTAAACTTTATAGGCAGCAGCTTGAGCAGAAACTACGAGATTCATGGCAGCTGATCTGGCAATCACATTAAATATGTTTAACTGTTTGCAAATTTAAAGGGGCATTTCTGTCATGGAAGACCCCTGCTGTGGTCAAAAGACATCTACGTGATTTATTTGACCTCCAAATAGGAACTGTGGGCATAAAATCTGTGGAACGTTTGAATAATTCACTCCAAATCCAAAGAGTTCTCTTGTCATTCAACAGTCCAAAATTGCCCAATTTAATCTTTAAACAAAAAGCGTTTATAAGGCTAAAAGGGGTTTTCCCCACGCTGGTTTTTTGTAATGCAAATATTGTACCACTTGTCCCTAGAGGCACAGAAAAAAAATACTCCAATTAGCCCTAATGCTGTTTCCTAGAAGCCATTGTTATCTTCTGAGGTTCACCTCATGGATACTGATCCTTTTGATCAAGAAGTCCCTGATCAAGAGGTACAGAATCTTCTTAGTGCTCCTCCTGTCCCTGAGAAAGTGGCAATTGTTGATAGACTGGAAGCAGTGACTGCCTGTTTGCGAGAAAACAACTTGGATGCACCCAGCTACGCATCTACTCCATTTCCATCTCCAGTGTATTAAGATCCTTCAACAAAACTTTGAGAGAAACCCACAGCTCTCAATCCAAGCTGAGATATATACCCCAACTCCAGAGACAAATAATACTCTCCTAAATGTGGAGACCAACATAACCCAACAACTCTCTCGACAAATAACATCTGATCTCCATGGTGGTACAGTCAACGGATGTGTTTCCTATGATATGAACAATTCTCTCGATTTGCTTCCTATGGTGAACTGACGCACAACGGCTCTTCCACCTGCCATAGTTAAAATTATCTCTTGGAACATTGGGTTGGAGGAGCAAAGCTAGTGATGAGGACTTTCTATGTTATTTGAAAGGCTTTGACATTGTGCTCCTCCAGGAAACGTGGTCCCAACCTGTGATTCACTTAGAAGGGTTTAACTCTTTTCCCCTTCCAGCTTATAGAATCAGTTTGAAAGGCCGTCTTCAAGTTGGGTTGTCTATTTTTATATCCTCACTCTTAAAATGTGAAATTACTATGTTACCACTAGGCAACACTAAAGACCAAGTTGTCAAACTTGTTTTTGGAAATTTTACTCTGATTATCATGAATTTATATGTGCCCTCTTCTCTAGATAGTTATGTTGTTGCCCAGCACTGGGAATGTTTAACTACCCTTATGGAACCTCTAGAAAGAAAATTTCCCTCCGCTGAAATAATTCTGGCTGGGGATTTTAATGCAAGAGTAGGAAGGGACCCCACAATTTTTTTTAGGGCTCTTGGAGTCAATCAGAACTATACCCTTCCCCCTCTTTTTTCTCTTGAAAGGCACTCCAAGGATTGCCATATAAATTCTGCTGCTTACTACTCACCAAATTCTGCCATCAGTTTAATAGATTCTGGATGAGTGGGCTTACATGCTTTCCCAAAGCCAGTGAACTTACATTTATTTCTGTAAGAGGTAATAGTGTAATTGATTACTTTTTAATATCTCCTTTCCTGAAATCTTGTGTTTTGAACTTCGAGGTAGGTTTCACCATTAGTAATCACCTTCCCCTTATTTTGACATTTAATATTGGTCCTCTTGCTCACTTCTTTTATCTCACTAAACCTCCAACTTCTGAGCTGGAAATCTTACCCAAAATCATATGGAACGATCGTTCTGTTCAGGAAACCAGCCAATCACTCAAAGCTGGCTCTTCCCTTGACTTTAGAGCTTCCTTAATTGATCATTTGGAACCTGCTCTAATGATTTCAGCATACAATGCCTTGATTTCTCATTTTTCCCAATTTTGCATAAAACCCAATTGTACAACTAAAAGTAGAGTACTTCAACGCCAATTGCGTAATATCTTTAGTTAATTTCGAACTTCTAACGACCCTGCCTTCCTTCTTGAATACTTTCAAGTTAAAAAACAACTTCAAGAGAGTATGAAAAAGAAGAAATTGGGATTTTTTAAATTACCAGTGGGAACAATTATTTCAAGCTATGGTTTTAAATAAATCTAAGAAGTTTTGGGCCATAGTTTCAGGTTCTCTCCGTGTGGAGCCTTCTCCTATGTTTGCGATCTCCTCTCACGTATGGTTTCAATATTTTTCTGCTCTGTTTCAGCAGACACAAGATTATACTGCCAATTCATTTGCCTTTTGTGATGAGGATTTGCCTGATTGGTCACCAGTGACCCCTGATGAAATAATAGAACTAATTAACCAGCTGAAGACTGGTAAAGCTCTTAGTCCCGAACTGATTCCCCCAGAGCTCATAAAGCTGGACCCAGAATGGTGGGCTGTTCCTCTTGCCTCTTTTTTTTTTACTATGATCAATCAAATGGGATTTATCCCAGATGCCTGGCAACACGCAATTGTGGTCCCGATCTTTATGGATAACCTGATATATGCCAATAAAGGCTTGTATTGTAGAATAAACTTCTGATTGGCAGGTGGAACGCAGTTCACACTAGTATTCTTTACAGTTTGTACCATCATAATACAGTATGCTATTGACTGTCATTCTGATGTTTCCGTAACACCCAGGAGTTTTCTCTTGATATCGTAAATATGTAAGAACCACTACTTGTACCTGGGATTTATGAGCAATGAACAAGATAGTTATCTTGTGATGTATGGCAGAT